TCGACGGTTGTCCGTGTTGCATATACGAAAGATTGAAGGCTGATTGATCACCCTAGCAAAAAAGTTTCGTGGTTAGGGAACTTTATTCATTGTTCGGCATGTCTCTTATCACTTACAGTGAATGTATGGTCTGGTGCTTTTTGATAGCTTCACTACACTTTGTAGCATGGAAAAAAGGAGGTGTTTGCTTGTAGGACATTTTGTGAAAAGTTGATGCTACTTACGAAATAAATGTATCGATGGAAATCCTCACAACATTTTTGTATGAACTAAAGGAAAATGAGGAAAAATTGTGAAAAAATATGGAGTAGGTTGGTTTCCAATTGAAAATATGAAATCCTCACAATAATTTGTATGAAGTAAAAAGAAATGAGGAAAAATTGTTAAAAAAATATGGTTTCGGTCGGTTCTCCATTGAAAATATGAAATTTGATAAGAAATCTATTCAACGCAGTTGAGCTAGATACGTTTTCTCTTACATTCACAATAGATTTGTCAATGCAAAGAAGATTGTATCGAGATTCTCTCAGTGAAATTTGGAGCGGCCGGTCACTCCTCCAGCATTATGAATTGCCATTTAGAGAGTGGAGTGATTCATTTTCTTTTTCTTTTTTGGTCAGTGATCGTAACTTTTATTTGCCATTGTGAAAAGCTCCTTTCCTTTTTTACACCACCAAATATAAGTCAATCCATTAGTTTTTTTGTTGGTTTTGACAAAAAACATAATTTCCCTCTGCACGAGCTTTCAAAATTCAGCCAAAAGAGCGAAGAATTTGCTATAATCCGTGATTTTTTTTCTCTGTGGGCAAACACATTTGAGTTTTCAAATTGGGGAGTTCGTCGGAGCACTGTTCCGTTCATCTTATGAAAATGTCGTTGTGATAAAATAAAGGAAACATCTTTTTTAAAATATTGTTGAATGTTGATAGTTCAATTTTTTTAACCATATCAGAATCATGAGTGGTGGTAGCCACATCCGGGCAAGTAACCTATCCTCCAAAATTGGCAACACAGCACAGCCCGGTCGAGGCACCGACACCATAGTTACACGAACTTGGCTTATTTGGGTTTTTAGTTGCGGTTCCAAAAGCTTTTCAAAGCTATGGAGGCACAGCGAACAGGGCCGGATTAAGGGGGTGGCCACATGGGCCGCGGCCCATGGCGGCAAATTTAGGAGGCGGCAAATTTTGCGATTTTTTTAAGTGAAGGTATAAAGCAAATCGGATTCAGAAAAAAATAAAAAAGAGAAAGGGTGACAATAACTCTTATTTCCTGAGAGTACAGTAACTTTGCATTGCGTCAAACACAGTGCGTTCAGCACCGCTCGACGTGAAACGCAAAGCGCCTACAAGACTGTAGGAATACTTCACGCACTGCGTCAAAAACAGTGCGGTCAGCAGCGGTCGACGCAAAACGCATAGCGCTTACAAGACTGTAGGAATACTTCACACATTGCGCAAAACACAGTGCGGTCAGCGGGCCGCGGCGGCGGAAGTTAAAATTGTTAAACCACATTTATGTTTGTTCTTTCATAATTTTTTCGTTCATTTCTTATAAATGGAAGGCCTTGTCCACACAGAGATAGGTTTACGGAACTTAACTTTCGCGCAAAGTTCCGTGAAATTTTGCTGGTAGTGTTGACGTAGGGCTTTCGCAAAAATGTTTCCAACACGAATAAACGCGTCTTATGCACCCCTACCCCTCCGGCACGCTCACTTGGTGGTTTTTATTGATGTTTCAAAACGAATGAGAAGGAGGCGGCAAAATACAGGCGGCCCATGGGCGGCAAGTAGGTGAATCCGGCCCTAACAGGGAATGAGAATGAAATTGGGGGAGGAAGGTGGATCAACTTTGCTAGAAATTAACGAATATTTTCCATTACCACCCCTCATTGTTGCGATGACCAGTGCCGCTCTTTCTTATATATTTAATTTGGTAAAAATTTTACAGATGATATTTGTTTGATTACTTTCAGATAATATAATGAAATCGTGAAACGTACGCTTCAAAAACTTTGGCTAATATTTTTAGAAGCAAATTAGATTGTAGAAAGAAACTGAAATGTTGCTGCAGCCTACACAGCTGGGCAGGTATCGACAGAAATAATTCAATCTTTTCAATCCAAACTTTCGGTGCAACCCTAACCTTTCTCTTGCTTGCGCAAAGCGTTAACCGCAGGGGTTGGGTATGCAATTTCTTCAAATATACATCGCTATGGTATATGTTCATAGGATGAGACTTTATGTAATTTTTATCTAAAAATTGCACCCCTGACTTATTCAGTGTTAAACTCGGAGCACTTCAGTCCTCCCTTTTTACTATGAGAGAAATTAAAACAAAAGTAATGGAATTGCACATTAAATTTTATTTGACAGTTTGCAAAGATTCATTTCTAAAGATCTTGGGTATATCTGGCAATTTTTATTTACAGCACGCGTAAGTATCGATAAACTTTAAGTATAATTTGATTTTAACATGGCAAGATCCAATCTGTAAAAAAAAGAAATAAAATAATAATCAACAAGAGTTCGACCCGAATAAGATATAGCGGGTCAGGCATGAATCTAATGAAATTCGTAAAACTACTATTTACAATAAACTACAAATTAAACAAACATAGTATTGACATACATACAAGTGTGAATTTATGGTTCCGCTAACAAAAACAGGGGCAAGCGGGCCTATTTATTTACAGAAAGTTTTTGAGTTCCGAATAATACATTTCGTAAATTTGAGAGTCAACGAGAGGAGACGAGTAGTTGCAAATTACTACGCATTTAGTATTCAAGATTAGCATCTACTAAAGAAAAGTTTGAAAGAATTTTCAATTTAAAGAAGTAACAATGAACAGTTAACGTATGATGTAGATTCTCTTCGAACAGTGATAAGTTATGGAACTTTCAGATGCGTTCTTTTTTTTAAAACTGGAGTTACACTTTTTTAAACTGGGGACAAAGTTCAGGATAGCTCTATTAGTAACGAAGTAATTCTGAACTCCGATCAAGAGAATGGTGATAACTTCATTTAAATCAACCGATAAAAAAGATCTTTAAAGCAGTCATGCAAAAAAATATCGGGAGAAGTTCAGCCATGGTGTTGTAAAAAGTAAATAAATAACATCCTAACTGTCAAGCTGCTGAAGTGAATGTATGAAGCAAATTTAAAACAAATTGAAAGGCAAAATAACGATCGACAATCATTAAACACGGTAAGTATGTATAGATGTCATACCTCCATACATACACAAATAAATTTTGCAGGTTAGACGGTACACCTTTCCCTTTTTCCCATATCAGATAATGACTGATGACTCAAAAGAGTCCTCAACGAATTTCAAAAAAATATTCTTAGACAGAGCAATATCGACCCTCAGCGAAGTATCAAACCGTGTAGTTTAGTGACTTAAGGCTTGTGGTCAATCTTGGTTAAACCAAGTATTCGCGTCTCAACACGAAAATGAAACAATTTGATAATCAAGCTTTGATATTGTAAGACATTGATGATCGTACCTAAACGATAGAATTGCTCAAAATGTGAGAGTTTTTTAAAAGTTTTTTCGCCCTGTTTCTAACTTTTTTAAAGGCATTTAAAATGCAAGGTATATTTTTTGAAAGACAATCAATGCAGTAGCTACTTCATTGTTTGTTAGATAGCTAGAGGCTTCCAACCGAGTAAAACAATCTGTTTTGAATTTATTTTTTTTTATCCACTTTTAGGAGCAGTATGAAAGTGACGTCCCAATAACACAGCCGACAAATCGGAATATGACGAGAATACGACGTATTCAATGGACAAAAAATTTATTACCAGATGTTTCACAAGCAGAACTTTACTACTAGCCTCACATTTTAATTAAAACCGCGGTGTTTTGGGTTTATTTTACTCTGTTAAAATTGAAAAAAATGACAGGGCGATGAAATTACACCGATGACAGGATTTGACATTAAACGTTCGCAAAAGCACTAAATCACAGCTCATTTCAGCTGTTTAATTAAAATGAAGTAATGGCGAATATTTTCATGTCATTATGTTTTCATCGTTTGAAATTTAAATGAGATCATTATACATATTTATCTTTATATTTTCTGTTCCTGAGAAAAAATGTTGAGCTTTTTAGTGGACACTTTTCTCCATCTAATTTCATACTTTCATCCGTGAGATTATAGGGACATCCTGCTATTCTTTCAAATGTGTTCAAAAAAAGGGGAAATTATCACACTATTGCTGCATCACAAACTTTTTTCAAGTTTTCACAAAAAATCATGTTTCAGTTAGTAGAGCAACAATGATTGTAATATGTATGAAATTCCATTAACTATGCAGTAGCTCGAAAGTACTAATAACATTTTGCCTTGACGTTTGACGTCGGTTCTTTCGGAAATATTTTACAGTAATTCTAACATTTGTATCTCAAGTGACATGACAAAATTTGCTTTGGCGTATGTTTCTTGAAAAAATTAATGAAAAAAATGAATAAGTTAAACAATATTCGAGATCTAGTTTTTGATCAACAAATCATAATGCATTTATAGATTCGGCTGTCGAGAAATTTATACAGAGATAATATTCTCATCGAATGTTCCATAGTAGTAAATCACCATCTCATAACTACTGCAGTTCTCCCACATCAAAATAATTCGAGAATGGTGCTTAGCAGCGGGCTGATTATCGAAATTGATAGACAAAGCTATAGACAAAGAAGACCTATGGAACATGGAGCGATCCTATGGGTTGAAACGTTAGGTTGTTGAAGACTATATGGGAAAATGATGGACAAAGTATAGGGTCTCGTTAGTTTGTCTATAACTTACCTCCTTTGTCCATTACAACCACCCCCTTCCGACCAATGGCGTGGCATGCTTTGCGATGTATCGATTAATCTGCCATTTAAACCTATGAAAAAGGATCGATGAAACACCTTAATAATCGATTCTTTACCATACAGCTTAAAATGGGGAAATATCAATAATCGATCATTCACTCTGTGCCTCCGCCAATAGGATCGCTTTATTTTCAGTTTGTCTTCTTTATCCATCGCTTTGTCTATCAATTTCAATAATCAGCCGGCAGGAGGGCAGGAACGGCGGATAACCCACTGCTTCCAATGCATTGATGTTAATCCGGGAGTGACGAACAGTTCTGCGGCTTGTGTTTTGACACTCGAAGCCGCTCAATACATGGAGGGAGCGGAGCGCACATCTAATCCACCTGGCGTGCAGAGTCTGTCAGGACACGCTCGTCAGCAGCGATTGGTTCGGCGGGTTGCATCAGGCGTGTCTGCAGGCGCAGTTTTCCCACCCCTCGGCGAGGCGAGGCGAGGCGCGTTGGGTTTCCCTCCCCTTAGCAAATGGGTGACGCGATGGGGGGCTGCGTGATGGGGTAGTGCGCGGGGGGCGGGGGAGGGGCCTGCGCGTGGTCCCCCGGCGATAGGTTGAGGTTAGGCGGTGCCCACGGCTGCAATCCCTGCAAAGCTCCGATCGACGTCGTGTCACCGGAGGGTGGGTGGGGGTGCGCCAGGCCGCGTCCCTCCGAGGGACTCGTGTAGATCCCTTTGCTCATTGCCTCCGCTTGCAAGGACATCATGAGACGGTTGGCTGCCTGCCTCTCGGCCTCCCGCTCTTCTGCTGTTTGTCGCCTGAAACATATCGACAACGACTCGTCAATACAATGAAGAGAAACAGATTACCAGAGTGGAAAAAAGGAGGTGTTTGCATTTTGAGGATTGTTTACATGGTGACGTAGGTACAATATTGCGTCCATATTCCAGTGAATCCGAAATTCGAAGTATGAGAAACAGACAATTAAGTCCGTTTTTTTTTCCTTACATCAACTCAAAATATCGTTTAAAACACTTTATATATGATTATTTTTTTCCATAATCGACACCATTTCCAAGAAAATCGATGATAAAAACCGCCCGGACCGACCTACGTCATCGAAAAAATCAAAGATGTCCGAAATGCAAACACCTCTACTTTTTTCTCTATAACAGATTACAGACTCTGATGAGTTACGCCGCAATTTATATAGACACCAATTGGACCCAATTTAACGATAACGCACCAAAGTGTATTTGGGGAAAATATGAGTAATTTAACCAGCGCGTTCCATTTCCTCCACATAAAAATTCAAGGTTGACAAAAAATATTTCAAACGCAAAGCAGTCCTTAAACTTTAACCTGCAAAATGAGTACCAAGCGGCGTATAAGAAAAGGTAAGTTAGTGGTATTCTTTTAAGTTAAAGATAGTGTAATCAAGGCAGAATCGTGTTTTATTCCTGCCGAAATGCCAAAATGCCGAAAATCCAACACGCGTAAAAGTAAGAGGAAAATTATGAGTTTCACCATTTCTGCGCAGTAAATTCTCAGAATTTACAAATCGTGCATTCTGCTTTCACCCCTCCTCCGAGTTATTGCTAAACGTGGGAATGAGCGATTATAAAAGAAGTTGATAATTTCGATACCAAAATACGCTTTCGCGGCACCACATTTCAAAAATAGTCACTATATCCTACTATGAGGTTTGATCACAAATCTTCATTGGAATTAGAAATGTACAGCAACTCATCTATCGGAGAGTACGACTTCATCCACTTCCGAAAGCTACCAGCCACAACCACCCATACAAGGCCTATTTATTATGACACGAATATCTGAAGATATAGTCTGTCTAAGTTTACAGACGAGGCGCTAAAAGCGTATGAATAAAATTCGAGATCCAGAGGAAAAGAAACGAGAAACCTCGATTGCTCTAGGAATAATTATTGACATTCCTCTCGGAAGGATTATCGAGACTGTTCCTGAGCCGGACTGGAAAAGCTTCGGAGACCGACAAACGACTTGACTAATGAAAGTAAGTTAGCGGAGTCACTCCGGCGTGTTGAGAAAGAACGCCGTATGAGTTTTCGGACGTTGCCAAATTTCCTTTCATATAAAACGTCAGGAAAATGGGTGAATAATTTTTCAAGTTCAGCGAGCATTGTTGTATTAAACAATGTCTAAAAGGTATAATAGTACTGAAAATATCAGTGTGTAGCGTGTAGCTAAGTGCTAGAAATAATGTAATTTTTTTGAAAAAAATTACATTTTATTGATAAACTGTGCTTGGGAAAGCTTCGGTCCAATTTTATCAATAAAATGTAAGTTTTTTCAAAAAAATTTTACACTATGTCTATAGCACTTGGCTACACTCCACATACCGAATAATTTTTCCCGGATTTTCCAAAGAATTACTCTGCAATTTGATTGAAAGCACGTGAAAATTACAAGGGAAAATATTCATATAATTCGTCTGAAAAATTGATATTTTATTTAGGAAATTTGTCAACGCTCGAATGCCGATACGACGTTTTCCCTTAGCGCGGCAGGAGTGTCGTTCGAAGTCTCCTACGCATAAGACCGGGTGTTTAATGCCCTGAGCTTTCCGTTTTGAGTAACATGTCATTTAACGAAGATAAATAGATAACGAGGTATGTTGAAACGGCGTTTAGCGGAGGATCCTAGAAGACGGTGGAGGGTGGGGCGGAGTGCGCGGGCTATGTCGTAGGAATGGAGGTAAATTGAGTGAAACTGTGTTTCGGGGATCTGGGAGCGATACGTCGAACACGATATTTAATAACTATCAAAACTATCGTGATCGTCGGTTTGGTTTGAGGTTAGTCACGGGTTCGGCTTAAAGCTCTGTTGCCTGATGATCTAAAGAGGAATATCTACGAGTGTCTTCGCTTCATTTACCTGAGGATAGATGTACAGGTTAAATGAAAAAAAAATTGAAAAATCGTAAATTAAAGAGACAACTCGTGTTTGTCATGTTTTAGGAGACCCCTTTTAGGAATTTTTGAAAATTAAAACTCCCGAGAGAGGAAATTTGAGTAAAAAACGGTGTTAGAAAATAGAAAACTGCCAGATGATCTACAGGGGTTTTTTCCACATTTAGAGTGTTAGGAAAAATAATAAAAACTCCTGAAACATTTTAATTTTTTTTCAAGACTTTCTTTGACATTCGGAACTAAAAAAACACTTAAAAAGGGATTCCTTTACATAATGTTTACCATGTGTTTAAGATGTTGTTAAATCTTCCTTGAGAGGAGTAAAATTCATAACCAGCGTGCAAATTCCAAGTTAAAAAAAAGTATCGAAGCATAAAAGTTCAAAGAAGAAGTTTCAACTTGCGAGTGAAAAATGATCGATCCCAGCTAGGTCTCCGGTAGATTTCCCCAATAAAAATCGGAGAAAAAAGTCCATGTTTATCCGTTCGCACAAACGAATCAGTTCCTACCTCATAGCATAAGCAACCCGTACTGCAGCTGAAAGCACTATTATTCAAAAATTGTCCCGGCGACTTTGGAAAAGGAACACGAAATGATATACTCAACAACACTAATTAAGGGGCAAACGAACAATTAAACCTTTTAGCCGCAAAGGGACGGCAAGCCACGACTCGGAGCGGCCGAATAAGAATCGAGCGAGTTAAATATTTCGAGTTAATTAATTAGATAAGAATTGAAACGTTATTCTGTCGTAAAACGGAGACGGATTGGCCGAGCAAGCGAGAAAGTCAGCCAGTCGAGCGGGGGAGGGCGAGAGATGGGGGGGGGACGCGAGTTGTTTGATTATTTTTAATGGTGGTTTTTAGGAGCAGATGTTTAATGAAAGGGTCAGTAGATGGCGCCACGGTGCCACAGTGTTGGGGATTAGTTGTCGTTAGGAGGATAAAACAAAATACTACATGATATATCCATTAACGGCCTTATAATGAGTCCTTATTGAGCCGAGATAGAGCCGATCCAAGCTAGAAGTTCCAGGTTCCGCGGCCAGGTCACAGTGCTGTCGGACCGGGCAGAATTCGTCAAGCTTTCTCGTGTTTCGAGTTCACTGGAAGAAATTTCTCTATTCGATCAACAGGAATTCCTGCATGTTAGATATGCGACGATAGGAATTTCTCGTCGAAACAACAGGAAATCTCCTTGTTTTTCGCATCGTTACGATTATTTGGACACTTCATTTTGCAATAAATTAGGATCAACAGTTTCTGGTTCAATCGTAAAAACACCTATGTGCAATGGTGAACTTCGAGTACATACGTGTTTTCTTAACTGAGCCAGAAATTGTAGTTTTTAATTGCAAAATGTAATCCATTTCATAGATGTCCATTCGATTTAGAGAGATTTCCAGTTGAGCCGTCGGGAATTTCTGTCACGGTATATTTGACCGGAACATTTTTTAGTGTTTTGGGGGGACTGAAAGGGAAAAAACCGCCTTCATTCCAACAGATATGCACCGGTTGAAATAGTGACATCAACACGCAAAATACATAGAAGTGACACCCTGAGGGCGTCTAATACGGGTTTCGGTTGTTAAATGGCTGAATGACATTATTTTGAGAAGGAAATATCGGTTTGTAATCGATCAATATATGTACGCCTAACCGAATGGATTTCTTGCGTACAGACAGAGGCCACGATTTTGAATACATTGTGCAAATCAGGACTACTGCTCCCTCCTTGGCCGCACAAATTCAATTGGAAAACATATTTCATCCATCTTTTTCTGTCGTGGCGCGGATGCAACAAGTGAGAATCGTCCTTTCGCCCTCTCGCTGGCGCAACCCTCCGAAAATAGGAAATGCTTTGCCTCTTTGAGCTTCTTGTTCCATTAGACCAAACGTTTTATGGCTTGTCGAACGAGAATGAGACAAGAATAAAATATTAAAGGAGACTGGAAATGAGAGGGAAATTTGCTGAGATCTCTGAGCCTTGATGCTAAAATTTTCCCTCAGTTTTCCGAGCGGAAGCAAACAGAGATTACCTCCCGGTTTTTCGGCAATGGGAGGGAATGCGTAAGGTGATAAATATATTTCTTACAGGTCAGTTGTGCGTTCCATGACAAAACCTATTTTGATGGTTAGATCAAAGGTATGTAAGTTTCGTCGTTGTCTAGACAAAGGTTCGTAAATCCGTGCCGAGGTCGCAAAATTAACTTAAAAGCTTCAATTTTTTACGGGAATGATTTCGCCATTACTGTAGAAACTTTTGCTGTTTTTTATGAGCAATTAGATGAAAATCAGTAAAATTTTCAGTTCGAAATGCCCAACACTTTCCGAGAAAAATACCATTTGCGAGTGGAATTTTAGCAACTTTGAAATATAGTTTCTCTCTTTCGTCTAGGAAACGGTTAAAGCTGCCGAAACCAAGTCGTCACCTCCCGGCCAAAGTATCAAAAGCGCCATGCGACATTTAAAAATTTCCGCCATTTTATTTTTTACAGAGAAATTGTTGGTTGAACCTGTTTGAAAATTTCACTGAATTTTATCGGCAGCACAAAGAAAATTCAGTGGAATTTTCGGACAGCTTCGTTGAACAATTCCTTTGTAAAAAAAAATAAAATGGCGGCGGAAATTTTTAAGGCGCTTGTGATACATTGGCCGAAAGGCGACGAAGTAATGATTTCACTCGAGGAACTTTTTCCTCCGTTGGAAAACACATCTGAGCGGAGAAAAATATGAAGATTTCCCATATTATTTTTCCAGACAGTCATAATTGACGCTTGTCTATAGCGGATAGAGGAGGAAAGCGTCGGCTGAAGACACTCTCCGATTATTTGTTTCCCATTAGACGAACAAGACGTGAAGTTGTCT